AATATTGTCAACTTTATATAAATTTTAATCAATAAACTTACTAGTTGTTGGTACATGATAAGGGCCATTGGAAACTAATGGTAATCATTCCAAAAAAAGCACAAGTTGTATTGTTTTGTTCTCTTCATATGAAGATGAAATCAGAATTGAAGTCCTTGTTATAAACGTAAGTATTACATTCATTCATATCAATTCATTATGAAATTAATATATTAAATTATGTTTCTAATGTTTCAAATAATTCAAATTTGTTTAGAGTTGTGGCTAGGACCAGAGGAGAACAAATTGAAATTATATATCCTAAGGATGGAATTCGTTGATCTTTAACCATTAATTTTCGTAGTCAAATTTAAATCATTACATTTGGCTAAGTTCTTTCACATGTTTAGTGTAACAAGCAGAATGATTCTTAGGCATGTGGAGACTACATCATGTCATGGATGAAGGCAATCATCCGAGCAAAAATTATAGCAGATTGGATTGAGGTAGAAATTTACATTTGAAAATCTTACAAATATCAATAAACTTTTCACATTAAAATGAATGTAATAGTAAAGTTTCATTGATTTTGCAGCGGTTCAACACTACCTCTACATTGTCGGATGCAGTAATAAAGAAGATAAGAGAGGAATGGGCATAATATTTGAATAAACATTTTAAATAGCTATACCTTTAGGTTTTAACTTAAAGTTTTGTAGCGTTTTAATTATAATTGCATTTTCTTAGCTTTTAGTTTTACTTGTGCAACCTTTTGAATGGATGAATTGATAATAACATCATTTAAACTATGAATAGATGAATACTGTGAATATACGAATTGGAAATTGGGTTCTTTTTGTTTTGATGATAGCCTTTGCAGTCTTTTAGTTTTACTATTTAATTGGAATTGATGAATTGATGATATCATGGTTTAAATTAATTAATTTTGTGAATATATGAATTGGAAAACTGGTTTCTGTATTTCAGGTTTGGTTAAATGAGCGAAAAAGAACCTAGTTTACAAACAAACATTGAATGTGACGTCAAATTATACACTATTCGACATTCATATTGTATGTTAACGTCAAACTATGTACTGATCGATGTTCAGTAAGGGCGAGCTTCTCTCTAGCTCAGCGAGGGTAACGTCATCCACCCATAAAATTGACGTTAAATTTACATCAAACCTCCTTCTGCCCGACGTCAACTTTACGTCCAGTCCCCTTATAGTTGACGTTAAATCTTCATTTAAATATAAATATTTATTCAAATATTGGACATCGAACTCGTTATTACTCGACGTGCATTTAAACAATAGGAAACGTCGATCTACATAATTTGACGTCAATTATATGTCCACTCCCCTTATAGTTGACGTTAAATTTCCTTTAAATATAAATATTTATTCAAATATTACACGTCGAATTCATTACTACATGACATGTCTTTAAACAACAAGTAATGTCGTTCTACATAATTCGACGTCAAAGTTACGTCTTGTCCCCCTTACAGTAGACGCTAAATCTTCCATTAAATATACTATTTATTCACATATTAAATGTCGATGTCTTTATTGATTGACGTGTCTGTAAACAATTAACGTCAAGTTTCGTATTTCGACATGAAAATTATGTCTCCCGCTATGAAGTAGTTAGCATAGGTGCTAAGGAATGGATAGACCAAGAGTCTAAGTATGAGATGTTAGTGATGACATCAAGGGTTATAGATCGAGGATCGAGTAATTCATTTGATTGAATTGTTATGTTAGAGGACTAGGAATATTATTGTTATTATTATTATTATGTATGAGGTGTCTGATTATTGTTTATTTAATCAGTATGTTTATATCATGTTATTATGAATGTTTTACCGGTAGCTTACCCATATATGTTTGTATGTGTGCATGTGAATGTCATGATCATATAATGTGTGATGTTATACATGAGCATATGATGTTGTTGACGGTGTTGAAGCATGATAGATTCGAGAGATGACGAGGGAAAACTTGGGATTTTATTTACAGTTATTACTTTTGATCTTTGAGACAATGTAATTGAAGTCATTTTAATTCCTTCGTTATTTTCATTGGACAAATGTTTTGGAACTATTATGTTTTATGCACGTTTAAATATTGAGGTTTTGAAAATATGTTTCCGCATTATGTTAAAGTTTGAAATTTTTACTTATTTTTGAATAGCCTGTGACACCATGGAAATTGGGGCGTGACATCGTAAGCCTGATCATATTGCTAAATGTTGTTAAGTTGACAAGAAAAGTGAGATGAACCTTCTTATAGAAGAAGATGAAGAAGAGATGGAGATTTTTTTGTTTTCAAAACACTCGGACATGTTCAAAACTAAGTTGTTTGAGGTAGTGCAAGAGGGGGCCAAGCAACTTGGTGCCGAATAGATTTAGAATGAGTTGTTTGAAGTCCAATAGGAGGAGACTGAGGTGTTTGGAGTCGAGCATGAAAAAAATGGGTTGTCTAAAGCCAAGGAGGTGAAGGCCAATATATTGAGCACCGAGTTGTCAAAGAACTCGACAATGCTAATGAAGTTCTTGGTAAATGATGTGACAAACATGGAAAAGACAAACTTGGAGAAGAAACTCAAACAAAAAGATGAAGAGATTCAACGGATAGGAAGACTTCTAGATGAAACTAATGAGATATGAATAAATAGAGAGTTGAGCTTAAGGAGCTAAAGAAGGCGGTTGTTAACAAGGAGGAGGAAACCTCTAGTGTTCTTGAACCAGAAAAAAAAACAGGAAAGAGGAAGATGAAGACGTTAAGAAGAACCAAGGTATGAGAAGCTCATAAAATTTCGAACAACATGAAGAAGTTGGACAAAACAAAGAAATAGTCGACCAAAGCATTAAAGAGGTCAACTAAGGTAAAAGATAGGAAAGCCATAAGGAAAAAGAAAAACTAAAATTTGATTGAAAAAACAAGTTCGGTGTGGGATAATGTACATGGAAAGCCGAATAAAGGATGAAAAATATAAGTTTATGGGGAAGATTTGTTAGGCTAAACTTAAATTTTAAGAGTTTATTAGTAATTTTGTTTTAGACTTATTTTTAGTTTGAGTCCATTAATATTTAGTTTGATTTTGATAGAGATAAAATAAATATTGATAACCTTAATATTCCATTTTTTCAGGTGCAGTATAATTTTATTTGATTGATATAAAATAGAGATAAATTAATTAGTTGATAGAGATAAATTAATTTCAGGTGCAGTATATTTTTAGTAAGTTATATTTTGTTTAGTTGGGGAGAGAGTGCGTAAGAAAGCAAGAGACTTGGAAATCAAGCAAATGAAGTAGTTAACGAAAAGAATAACGGGATTTCGGTAAAATTGGCAGAAGTCGAAAGTGGATTGGGCTTGTCAATTAAGAGGCCCACAAAAGGAAAAAAAGGAAGTGCCACATAATAAGAACAAAGTGAAATCATATCCAAGGGGCGAGGAGGTAGTGGGAGCACGAATATCAGGGACATTAAACGGAGGGATTAATGAAAATACATGAATGTAAAACTGTTCTCAACACGTTATAGCTAAAGAATTAATGCATAGGAGATTTTCAAGTCTATAATGTTACCCACATCGGATAAAAGAAAAGTTAAACATAAATTTATATCAAATATATATACCTATATATATACTTCGTGGGTAAGACAACTTTTGAAGTTATACAAAAATAAATATGAAAGATGGAGAACAAGATGGCCTAAAGCGATATCTTATGATACGTGTATATTGAATCTTTCCAACATATTATACCTATGCTAAAAGATTGACAGAGGCAAAGGGTTCCGCCAAGGACACGCAGATACTAACGCCTGAGGGTAGTGTTTTAAGACTATTACAAAAAGATTTGAGATGTAACCTATTTAAATTCCAAATTGAAAACTTTTTTATTGTCTAACTAAAAATATAAATAGGTTTTTTTTTTACAAGGACTAATTGTGAAATAATACATATATTATGAGAAATCATGCCAAAAAAAACTAATTCAATTTTAGTTGCTGCAATTTAAGTCACGAATTTCATTAATGTTACAAGTTTCTTTATGTTTTTAATAATTTACTTATTGTTTGATATTGTGTTCTTTCGTTTTTATTTCAATTTGTGTAATCATGGTTCGTACCACTTTTGAACTCACCATTTAGTTTTTGCACTGTACTTTGTTGTCACTGCCATTGTTGCTAAAATCCAAAACAAAATTACAAAACGACAGATTGTATAGAGGAACATGTATAAAATTCTAAATAATCAAAGTAAAAGTGAATTCCTTGGACATTTGGATAAAATTAATTCACAACGTAAACAACTTGCACTTTAAATTACTCTTGTGGATAGAAGATTAAAAAACAACACGCTAATTAGATTGAAAAACTATTGTTTCCTAGTCTTTCGAAAAAAAATCACATCAAATTAGTTTAGTTTGAGAAAATAAAAAATCGAAACTAAATCCTTAATAAACAAAACTATAATATTTATTTTTAGTTTCTATTACTCATATAAGTCTTTACGAAACACTTGCAAAAATATCTTGGAACATTGTTTAAAACTATTAGACGACTCTGTTAACAAATAATTAGCATAACAAGAACAGGTTTTTCAATATATTTTAAAGTTCTAATGAAAACCCCATTTCTAGAGTTGATCATTTTGATAAAAACAATAACAATATTAAATTATTACCACAATCTTTTTGAAGTGGTTATGTTACATCCCACCCAAACTGCTGCAGTGGATTTTTCTAGATATTTTCATAGTAATTTTACTGAGAACATTCTATCCACTCAAACACATTATTGGCTTGATCGCATTTTATCACGAATATCTGCGATCACTTTCTCCGATCATAAGTCAACGAAGCATGAAAATGACTCCTGCATTCTCCACTAATCATGGTGCTCACAAGTCAGAAATGTCTGCTTGAAGGATTCAACTAAACGTTCACTATGACCCACATTCGTTCTTCTTCATAAGAAGCACTTAGCTCAGCGAAAATGGTAAAATAAATTATGCATTTCTCACACAAACCCATGTTCTTATTGTTCCTATGCATTTGGGTTGCAAAAGCTGCTGACCCTTTAGGTGAATTCTGCAATAGAAACACCAACATCAGCAGTGGAGGAAAATTATCTGCCAATATTGATAAACTATTGGCTGAACTAGCCCTCAAAACTCCCTCCACTGGTTTTGTTGCTACCACTTATGGAAAAGACCAAGACAAAGTCTATGCATTGTCTCAGTGTAGGGGAGATGTAAGCACTGAAGATTGCTCCACTTGTATTCAAGATGCCACAAAGCAAATCCGCCAACGCTGTCCAAACCAAGCTGATGCAAGAATTTGGTATGACTATTGCTTTCTGAGGTTCAACAACAAGAGTTTCTTTGGTGAGGTTGATACATCTTTCGGTATATTCTATTTCAATGTTGAAAATGTAACTGACCCTGAAGCTTTCAATGAAGAGCTTGGGGCTCTGATGAATCATATTAGAGCACAAGCTGTGGTGCCTAAAGAGGAAGGGCTTGGGAAGGGAAAATCTGTGTTGTCTCCATTTGTGACACTCTATGCGTTGGTGCAATGCACGAGAGACTTGTCTGAAATATCCTGTGCTCAGTGTTTGGCTGTTGCAGTGAACAACTTCCCCAACTTTTGCAGCAATCGTAAAGGGTGTAGAGTGCTATACAGTTCTTGCTATGTTCGATATGAAATCTACCCTTTTTTCTTCCCACTTGATTCTAACAAAACAGGAACTTCTAATGCAGCAAGAGTCAGCGTCTACACTTAAGTACCATTCTATTGTGCCAAAACTGTGTTCATCGTTGCTACTAAACCACCCTTGAACATGGAAGTTGCATTTGAAAAAACTTTGAAACTATAATATGTTGAAGCATAAGACGGTGTCTCAATCGTTGGCAATGATTGAATTCTGTAGTTATGTATGTCCAAAAGCTTTGTATGTGTTGTAAGTAGACATGTGACACATGTTGTCTGTTGTTATGATTACATACATATGTCATAATAAATTTCTTTTTGAGAACTTTTATCATACTAAGGTAAAAAAACTTTTTTATAACGACCTTTTATTTTGGTTGACTAATTATAAAAAAAATACATTATTATAAATATGAGATGCTTTTCTATAACGATTGGACCTAAAACTGGTATAGAAAGTAGTACAGTACAAATATTTATATATTGATTCCACTTAAAAACGGTATAAAAAGTTTCTTTTCTATACTGGTTAGACCTAGAATCAATATGGAAAGTAACGCAGTGAAAAAACTGTTATATAGGAAAACACTTTCTATATCGGTTAGTCATTATAACTGATATAGAATGTCTGATATTCTTCCCCGCCTTCCTTTCATGCTTCACTTTCTTTGTTCTTTGCGCTTCTTCTCATTCATTTTTTCTTGTTTCACCCCATTGTCATGTGCCTTATTCTTTACTTTCATTCACTGACTTGCTTTCGTTCTTTGTCATTGTTGGTTGACATTGGTGGTTGAAGCTCTCACCGTAATGGGTGGCCCAAGTTGTCTTTCGTGGTCGTAGGTTGCCATTGGTGGTTGAAACTTTCGCCATGGTGGGTGGCCCAAGCTGTTATTCGTTGTTATTGAATGCCATTCGTGGTTGACGCTCTCACCGTGGTGGTTGGCTCAAGCTATCGTTAACCGTTGTTGGTTCCCATTGGTGGTTTATGTTCTAGTCTTGCGAGTGGGTCAAGCTCTCATTCGCAGTTGCTAGTTACCATTAGTGTTTGAAGCTCTCACCATGCTGGGTGGGTCAAGTTGTCGTTTGCCTCTGGTGGGTAAAGCTCTCGACGTGATGGGCGGGTCAAGTTGTCGTTTGCTTCTGGTGGGTAAAGCTCTCGACGTGGTGGGCGGGTCAAGCTATCATTTTGCTTCTGGTGGATAAAGCTCTTGACTTGGTGGGTGGGTCAAGCTGTTGTTCCCCTCTAGTGGGTAAAGCCCTCATCTTAAGTACCTAAAAATCCCTAGAAGGAGGGTTGAATAGCGCTTTTATAAAAATTCTTTTCGCAACCCTTCTAATATAGCACGTTGTCGAGTTTTGAATTTTTATAATAGACGCTTAGACCCATGACCTAATAAGTGATTATAAAAGATAATTGCTTTTAACTTGTTATTCAGAATGTACACTACAGAGTTTATAAGAACTTCCTTGTTAAAGAATGATCATTTAGTGCAAAAGGTTCTTGTATTAAGAAATAAAAATGCAGCTCCATGTTTTATAAGAAAAGCGTTTAGACAAGAGAAGAAATAATTGTACAAATATTTTTATATTGGTTCACTCCAACTAAGCTACGTTCAATCTCCTTCGTAGAGGCTTTCACTACAATCTTCAACAATATTGGAGTTGAAAATTTATATTTAATGCCCAAGTTTTTGCAAAATCATTGAAATAGTTCATTTTCAAATTCTCCTTCATGATCACTTTTGTTTGAAATAATCTTACCACCTTTTTCATTCTATATTCTGTTACAGAGTTTATAAAAAGCCTTAGAAGCATTTTGTTAAACTTAAATGATAATTTAGCATATTATTAGAAAAGAATTGCCTTGTTTCCCTTACCAAGAGGGGGGTGAATTGGTGATCAATAAAAACAATTTCTTTTAATATTTTTTCGCAAACTAGAATGATCTTTAATCTTTTCTTGAAACTCACGCAATCAAGCGCATGTGATGAAAGTAAAAGAGATAGGGAAAGAAATACAAACAAAAGGATTTATACTGGTTCGGCCTCAATGCCTACATCCAGTTTTCTTCCAATCAACCTTACATTGAAGGTTCTTTCACTATAATGATTTGAGTTTTACATCAAAGGTCTTACAGAGAACTCTCTCAAAATGTAAACACCTGTCCCACTCAACAATCAAGTATAGAAAGATAACACATGCATAAAGAACACACTTCTTCATTGCAGAACCCTTTGAGAATCCCTCTCAAAGTACCAAGAGCTCCTCACTCTTCTTCCTGGCTGCATGCACAGGGAATACCACAATCCAAGATTACAAAAAACAAAGTTTGATCAATCAAGAGTACACCTCAGTAGTGCAGTAGTTGATCAACAATGAAAATCCAAATTTGTTCTTCAAGAAACCTTCAAGATCATCAACTTCTTTGATTCTTGTTTCTTAGAGCGTCTCAGCACACCTGTATCTCTTTTCTCAAATCACAATATCATATATGAAAGTTTAGAAATGATCAAAAGTCATAAGAGATGTGTCAGTGCGTCAATTTATAGTTATCTCATATCAGACATAAATCAATCGATTACATTAGCAATATAATTGGTTACATTAGTAGCAGATGTAACAGAATTACAATTAACATAGCTCTAATTCAATGCACAATTAATGTAATTGATTCGCAATAAATGCTAGTCAACATATTTGAAAAATATGACTGTTATCAATGTTACGAACTAGCCTGAAAATAGTTTTCAAATAATAACAGACTTAATTTATTACATAAATAGTGTAATCGATTAAGCTCCACACTTAAACATATTCTGAAAACATTTTCACTTCAAAAACTCATCACAACACATTTCAAAATGATGTCTGCAAAGACACTAGTTTTAATTGATTTTACACTTAATGTAATCGGTTAAAACTTGTTGTTTTGCCATAGTTTAAAACATAAGTTGTGTGATGAACTTAATTGATTACAACTTCACTGTAATCAATTAATTAATGCAAAATTGCTTTGTGCTTGTGGTTTTATCACATTAAAACATTTAGTATGCATACAAAAGATATAAATAGTATTATGATCATAATAGTATGCATACCAATCAACATATCATCATATGTTTTAATCACAAAAAAACATCAACATATGTATTAATCACAAATATACATTTCTGTTTTGTCATGAAAACATGTATGTGTTGTTACAATCTCCCCCGTTTTTGATGATGCACAACCATGATGTATAAAACAACCATGATGTACACTGCACAACCAAAATTTTTTTTAATCAGATATACAAAGATACATAATCATAGATATCAACAATCTTCCTTGTTAAAACAATCAGTATTAACAATTTCAACTATCTTTCTTATTGATTCAATCAAACAATTTCAACTATCTCATCAATTTCAGCTATCTCTCCTCCTTTGGGCATTAGAAAAAAGGTATAAGTGCACAAGGTATGTGTAAAGCACAGAGACAGTGAATTAAACAAAGATACATCAATAGATTTATCAATAATAAAAAATTATGCTCCCTTGTCAATAATCAACACTACAAACAGTTTCAATTTCTGCCTTATCAATATGTAAAAGGGGTATAGAAATGAATTCTATCAATCAAATATTTAAGCTCCCCCTATCAATATTCAATATCTCTAAAGTATTTCAAATACATAGATCAGTATCAAAGTAAAAGATAGAGATGTATCAGAGCATATATATCACAAAACTAGTTTCAAGCATGTATCATATGAAATGATAGTGTTGATAGAGGGAACACAGTGTTAGCTAAACCCAATCCCTATGATGTTGGTTTTTGATGATGATAATACATTGTTAATAAAAACATATGTGTGAGTACTATGTGATATATAAGTTGAATGTGTACATGCTTACTGTGTAATATGCACGTATTGTGTTTGTCACATTTGTTGAACATATTATATTAATTGATGCATATATAATATTGTGTTTATCACATTTGTTGAACATATTATATTGATTGATGCATACTATTGTGTTTATGAAGGGATTATATATGTGTATGCATAATACATGTTTTGGCGATATGAATTGTGGCAAAATAACTAGTTTTGAATCGATTACATTAGTTGGTGAATCGATTAAAATTCGTGTGTTTGCATATATCTTTTGCAAAATGTGTTGTGATGTGTTTTTGAAAGAAAAGTTTTCAAAAATCTTCCAAGTGTTAAAGCTTAATCGATTACGTGAATTATGTATTCAATTAAGTCTATTAAGATTTGAAAACTGATTTCATATGGTCATAATTGTTGTACCTGTCATATTTTTAAATATGTTTGACTAGCATTTAATGGAAATCGATTGTATTAATTGCGTATTCAATTAAGAAGCCAAATTGGTTGTAATTCTGTTACACATGTTTAATATAACCGATTACATAAGTTGGTTAATCGATTTCATAACGCCAGAATTGACAAAAACTATATATTGATGCATTGATTGATTTTTTGGAAGACAATTGAGAATTACACTTTCATATCTGATTGATATTTGTTTGAGAAGTTTTATAGAGTGATAAAAAGCTCCAAGAATCAAGAAAGAAAGTGGTTTACAAATCTTGAAGAATTCTTGAGTAGCAAACGTAACTGGATTGAAGAGACTGATCGTTCTGCACAACTGAGGTGCTTTCTGTGTGATCAGGAGAAGAATAATCGCAATCTTTGATTTGTGATTCCCTGTGTGTGTGGCTAGGAAGAAAGAGCAGGAAGTTCTTTGTACTTTGAGAGGTGTCTAAAAGAGGTGACTGCAGGAGAGGATTGTTCTTGTTGCAAGGTCTTGTTATTGGCTCTATTAGATTAGTGAGTTAGAGAGGTGGTTTACATTTTGACAGATTGGTCGCTATAAAGCCTTGCTGTAAAAACTCATATCTTTATAGTGCAATTGGCTTTCAATCTCAGGTTGATTGAAAGGACACTGGATGTAGGCGTTGAGGCCGAACCAGTATAAAAACTGAGTTTGGTTTTCTTCTCCTTATCTCTTTACATAATCGATTATTAATTGATTACGCATACTACTACATTGCACGCACATTGCTTACGGCACAAGAAAGTTTTCAAGAACAATATCATTTACGAAAAAGATTTCAAAAGTGCACATTTTTATAAAACACCAATTCACCCC